CCCCTGGGAACTCGGGGACTGAACCCCAGAACCTGATGGGGCCTGGTGAAGCTGCACCGCAACTGTGTGCAAAGTAGAGCAACACCTCCTCTAGGCCCGCTGCGGTGCCCACCAGGAACCGTCCAAAGCCCGCCACGTGTCGGCTGTGACCGTGGTGCAAGGCCAGTCTGCGGCCTGTTGGCTGCCCGAGCAGCCCTGCCTTGACATCACTGCACTTCTCTCTTCCTCATCACATTGTATCTTTTTCTTCCTCCATTTCACTCCTTCGGATCAAAACCAGACTATCAGGGTGGGGAGACGGCTCAGTGGAATAAGCACTTCTCTGGTAAGCGCAAAGACCTGAGTTCAATCCCCGGTTCCACAAAAAATAAAAAAAAATAAAAATAATAAAATTATTTAAAAAAAAAAACAGACTATCTCTGCACAGCTGGAAAGATGCTTGTTCTGAAACTCCATAACTCAAAAAGTAGGGCTCCTTCCCTTCCCACATTCGTCACATTTCACAGAGCAGGCTGGCCTCAAACTTAGGGCAATCCTCCTGCCTCAGCCTCCTGAGTGCTGGGATCCCAGACATGTCCTGCCACGCCTTGCGCATCTCAGTTCTTGGCCCTGCAATGTGGCCGAGAGTGCTGGGAGGTTGGACATCCCCAAGCATCCGTCCTTCCAGGCGTTTTTAGGACAGCAGGGAATGCAGGGGGAGGGGGTGGCTGTAGTGAGAGGAAGAAGCCTGTTCCTTTAAAAGTGCATGGGCGTGGTGCTCACCCAGGACCGGTGGGCGGTGGGCGTCTGCCTTCTGCAGGCTGTAGGCGCATTCCGGAGCTTGAGCGGAGAAATAAAAGCGCTCCCTTGTCTGCGCTCAGAGGAGACAGCAATATTGCTGTGTAACCAGGACCAGATGGGCTTGGGAATTTCCAAAGGCCCCGAGTGCAGAAGACAGAAACCCCTCCCAGACTTTGTCTGGCTGCTTGCTGCCTGGGTATCAGTTACAGAGGTGACGCAGCCAGGGTCCCATAGGGGAGGGGGCCTCTGCCCGTGCTCTCAGCCTGCAGCCCCACAGCCTGCAGGCACTCCCACAGCCTGCCTCTCGCCCACAACCTCTACAGGACACCGCCAGAACCTCTACAGGGTATCCCCAGGGGTTGCCACAGCCCCAACCCCTGCCTGCCATCCTCAGGACACCACCAGACTCAGGTGCCCGGCTCAGAGGTGCTCGGGCTCTTCCTATTAAAAGAGCACCCTCTTGCCTCTGCAGGCCTCCTGTCTTAACTTGTGTGTCCCACACCAACCCTCTGGACTCTAATTCTGTCCTGGGTGACCCCAAGTTGCAGCAAGCCTGCATCCCTGCTCTGAAACTCCACAACTCAAAAGGTAGGGCTCCTTCCCTCACACTCCAATCACATTTCACAGAGCAAACTTACAGCAATCCTGCCTCAGCCTCCTGAGTGCTGGGATCCCAGACATGCACCACCATGCCCTGCGCACCTCAGGAGTTCTTAGCCCCGCCCTGGGGAATCCATGGCGGTCCAGTAGCCACACAGGGCCTGGCACCCCGGAAGCAATGGTTAGGTTGCCGGACACTGTCTGTCAGGCTCGGTGACCTTCGCTGCTGCACTCCCTGATAACGAGTGCTGATACACAGGTGTGGTGCTGGGGTTTCAGCGTGTTCATTCACCCTCACATCCATTCCATACGCCCCAGGTTACAGATGGCAAAACAGAGGCAGGCAAGTTATCATCAGCCTGAGGTCACGTGGAGAACACAGGCAAAAGCAGGATCTGAGCCCACTGCTAGGGCCCGTGTCTATAGTCATCCCATCACGCTGACCTGCTTCTGCAGGCTCAGGACAAGCAGCAGGGACCCGCAGGTTCCAGGGGCTCTCCAGCTAGGCCCGGTTGTGAGGGGGCCCAAGGCTGCTTTACCTGCTTCCCTTCCCCTCAACCATCCCTCTGAGGCTCAGGCCCCCAGTCCATGAGTGTGAGAGGCAGGTCCATTCTGGCATTCCGACTACGGGGACCCCCACAGCACAATGGTGTCCCCCAAACCAGAGACTAAGCAATGACTTGGCCCCTCACCCTGGGCTTCAATGGCAGTGAAGATGGAAGGGGCCAACATCACTTGCACTGTGCACCTGCGGTGAGCCTGCTCTGGTGTTTCAGAGCCCACCTCGGAAGGAGAAGGGAAGCCATGATGGTTTCCATCTGTGCGTTCCCGAGGGGCCTCTAGTGCACTCATCAATGTGGCGCGGGGAAGGTGACGGATAACCCGCTCAGAGCTGATTTGCTCTCAGGAGGAGGGGCCTGCGGAAGGAGGAGGGGGTTGGGGGCGTGGCCAAGGAGGGTGGCTCTCCCTCCCCAGCTCCTCCCTTCTCTCTCTGCCTCTTGTGCACTGCGCCTTAAGCAGCTCTCCTCCACCAGGCCCTTCCGTAAGGCCTTGTCCTTGTCCTTGTCCTTGACCTGCCTTGGAGCCATCCAACCGCGGACTAAATGAGAGCCAATATAAACCTCTCCCTCCTGAAGTTGTGGGTGTCAGGTGTTTGTCACAGCCGGGAGAAAATGACTAAGACAGAGGCCAGGGATGTGGCACAGGCAGGTATGGACCCGGACTGGCCAACTCCGGACCCTGCATTCTTTCTCAAGAGACCCCTAGGATAATGTCTGCTGTGCCCTGTGCCCAGTTAGTGAAAACTGGAGCCTCAGTTTCCCTGTCAGTACCAGGGGGCTCAAGGTCCTGACTTGGGAGCTTTGGTGCTAGCAGAAAGGGCTGTGAGGTGGGCGCTTGCTGGGCAGGGGCTCCATGGCCACATAGTGACCATGCCAGGTGTGGCACTAGCCCTCCCTATGCCAGTTTCCCAGGGAGGCAGCCAGGTGGCCGGCCAGCCTGGACTGCACAGTGTGTCTGAGGCCAGCCTGGGATACAAATCTCAAACAAAACAGAAAATAAATGGTGATGATGAGGATGGTAATGAGGGGTGAAGCAGTTGCTTTCCCACTCTTTAAAAATGCTGTTTTATTCTTATGACACCAACAAGGCAGGTGCTGTCACCCCCATTTTACAGATGAGTAAACTAAGGCACAGAGAGGTAGGAACATGTGGGGATCTGCTAAAGCTGGAAACTGATCCTATGTGGGAGGGCCCGATGAGGCCTCATGGCCTAAAGCAATCAAGCTACCTACGCCTAGAGAAAAACATCCTGCCTGGACCTTGGGGCTATTAGTCTCTAGGCAACCTTGGGTCTTGCAACTTTGTAAAAGTATAAAGAAAGGCTCTTACTATTGCTCAGGAGTGGGCTACCACCTAACCCAGCTCTTCTCGTTTGTCTTGTCCTCATTCCTGTCTCCAGAGTCTACAACTGCAGCCTGTCCCTGGCTGCTTCCCTAACAATCATATGACAGTCTTGCTCACAGTATGTGGCACAAGCTGGCCCGGGGCCCCTAGTAGGCATTCCCAGCCAGTACTGGCAGAGTTGAAAGAAACCACATGGGCAGCTCTCCTAGCGGGGGTTGGCTGGGGAGCCCTGGAAGCTGCATCCCAAAGGACCCTTCAGATCCACCCAGAGTCCCAGGACACGGGGCTGGGACCATGCCAGCCCTCAGCGTTCATGAACGAGGTAGATGAGGGTGGTCACTCTGCCCCTGCCCCATGCTGGGACGCTGAAAGCTAAGCCTCAGGCCCTTTGCAGCTAACCCTCAAGCCCCGTGCAGCCAGACTCTGCTGGTTCCTGCTGGAAATCCCTTCCCCTGACCCCATATGGGAACAGATCACGCGCGCACACACACACACACACACACACACACACACACACACACACGGTGGCTGTGAAAAGCTTTCTCCTCACTTTCACTCGTCTACCGTGGCATGGTCCTGGGGCCCAGGGCTGGGGGTGGGGTGGGCATGCAGCACCTGCTTGGTGCCTGGCCCTAAGCTACACCTGCAACACACACACACACACAGAGACGCACACATACTCCCCAAGGTAAGTACCCGACTGGGGGCCTCCTGAGACAGCCTGGCCCTGGGTATAAGGTGCCCACTGTTCCAAGCCCAGGTCCTGTGAGCAGAACCAAGCACTTCAATGCCACCACATTCCTGCCTGCCCATGAGATGATGCCCCTCCTCCTTCTCCCCCATCCTCCTCCTGCTTACCATCCCACGGTCACCAGAACCCACAGGACAGGTACCCTACATGCCCGCAGGTTTCAGAGAATCTGTTCCTGCAGCCCGCCACCTTAGCTAGAAGCTAAGGTTTAGGAGAAGAGAGTGCACCTGCGCTGGAGTTGGGACCTTGATTAGAATGCTGTCCTTTTCTCAGGGCCAGCAGTTTTCAGTGAGGAACGAACTCCTTCCAGCCCTCAGTCATCCCCACCCCAGTGCCTTGTGGCTCTGCAGGGCACCCAAGCCCATCCTGAGAGCCCAGAACAGGGCCGGGCCCTCAGCATCACTGGTCAGTGTTGGCCTGTGCCTCTCCTCAGCCTGGCCCCCCTATGGGCTCAAGCTTGGCACTGTCTAACCCCAAGGACTCGGTACCCAGGCTGTGCCACTGCAGCATGCCCTGGTCTCTCTGCCAGGCTAAAGACAAGCTCCTGCACCCCAGCTGCCTGCCCCTGCTCCTGCCCCACCTTGGTGCAGCTCCCTCCAGCTGTGTCCCCAGAAGGAAGGCACTCCCTCCCCCAATGGCTCCTACCCCATGCAGTCTAGTTCACCAGCCCCTCACTGCTGGGTCAAGACCCCCTGCCTCTCAGCCCCCAATCCCAGTGATTTCAGTCCCAGAAGCCCCTCATTTCCTGTCTGGGGAGCAACCCCTTCTTCACCCTCCACCTCTACAGATTTCCAGACCAGTTGCAGTTTGGCAGAGCTGGGCTCCAGCCTGGCTCTGTGACTCAAATAATGTGTGGGCCAAGACCAAGTTCCAACCCTGTTAGCCTCAGTTCCCTCCTCTGCTACACAGGACTTGTTACTGACACTCCAAGACTCCACGATGGAATAAAACACCAGCCTTTACTAGGCAGCTACCCCGCACCGGGCATCCTGCTGCTTGAATGTTAAAACTTTATTTTCTCTCATCCTCGGGAGGCAGGGCCTGTTCCCTCTAGAACACACAGCAGCCTTAGGCTTCTCTAGCACAGAGGCACCTCAGGACAAGCTGTGTCCGTTCCCAGCGCCCAGGGGTATCAGGCTTGCACTGGCATGAACAGCTGGGCTGTTAAGGACCTTGAGTTACACACAGAGAGACCATGGCAAGGGCGGGGTTGTCAAAGGGCATTGTTAGTGCCCTGAGTCTGGGCCCAGGGTCAGTGGGTGGACAGTGTATGGCCTTCAGACCTCTCTCTCACCACCTTGGGTCAATGTGGCAGCCACTGCCGAGGAGAGGTGGCCATGCCCCCGCCAGCTTCCTGAATGTCACTTTCAGAGAAGAGACGGGGAAAAGCCAAGGGCAGGAGATGGGGAAAGCACAGACAGCACTCCCTGCTGCCCACTCCCTGGCTGCTCCAACTAGCTGTCTCCACCAACCTCCAGGGAGCCCAGCCCGGCCCCCTGTGCACTGCCTGTGGGGCCTACCATCCTCTCCCTGCTCCCCCCAAGGCCAACAGGCCCTAAGGCTCCCGGGCTAGGCCTCCTTTCTGATCTGAGGATTCCTCCCTACAACCTGCCTCATGCTAAAAGGGGACATGATTTCAAAGCAGGGCCTGCATGCCTTGCTTCCTGTTCTCATCTACAGAGGTGCTGGGAAAGCAGGTTGGGACCTTGCTTTATTGAAGGGGAACCCCAGATGGGAGAGCCCACTGCACCTTCCCCAGGGCCCCCACGCCTAGGCCCCCCAGCTCTCACCTTGAGGGGAGGAGCAGGCAGGTGCTCCCCCACAACTATTCCCACAGGGACAGCAGACACTAACTCCGTGTCCCTGGATACCAGTACCTGGCCACCTCCCTGAAGCCCCAGGCCTCCTGCACCTCCAAGCTCATGAACTCACCGCCTCCCGGGCCTGCGTGGGATCTTCCATGGGATGGCCCTGCCCTTCCCACCAGTCACTGGTTGCCACCTCCCAGCCAGCAGGTTAGAGAAGGAAAAGCACAAAGGCAGGCAGTGGGCAGGGCCCAGAGGCAGGCAGGGAACACTTAGGTGGGCAGTAGGGGTCAGGGCACCGCAGGCGGGAGCAGCGGTGTGTCTGAGTTCTGTGCCGACACGCTGGGCGTCTCAGGGCCGATCAGCCCCAGGTCGTGCAAATTGAGGATGGAGTCTGCGATGATGCGGGCTGTGCGCTTCTGGTACCCGCCCGAGGTCACCATGAGGATAGGGATCTGGTGAGACCGGACCACACGGAACACCAACTCATCCCGCTTCACGATGCCCTGTGAGGGTGGAGAAGGTGGGCTCAGGCACCAGGAGTCCTGTTGTGCATGGCTGGGCTGCAGCTCCTCCCTGACACAGGCCACCCGCCAGCCCCTCTCCAGGTCAGCGCATACCCCAGGGCTGATGGACAGCCCCCCGAGGCGGTCCCCCTCCAGGACGTCAGTGCCTGCGTTGTACACCACCACGTCGGGCAGGTATTCCTGGAAGGCTCGCTCCAAGTTTCTCTCTACTTTGCTCAGGTACTCATCATCCTCTGTGCCCCACTCCAGCTCCACCTTCCGACTGATGGCCTCTGAAAGGGACACATCCCCAGCCCCATGGGGCACGGGAGGGAAACTGAGGCTTAGGATGGGGCCTGTCCATAGTAGAAGAAGGGCTGTACCTGGGTCTGTCTAACAGGCAGCATGGCTGCTCATGTCACCAACGCTAAGCTGGAAGGGGTGCTGAGAGCTGCGGAGAGCTGAGCACCTTCTGCCCATGGCCCCCAGCGACCACTGTGGACAGAGCCTGACTTTGGGACCCGCCCGCCTCTCGGGTCCCAGTCAGGATTCAGTTTGTAAACCTGTACCTTAGGCTGTACTGAGGGGGCTTACTCACACCACACTCACTAACCCCTTGTGCAAAGTTCCCTAAGGCTGTGTTTTAAACTGGTTACTAGCAGGTGCAGCTATTGGCAGGTGCCTGTACCTTTAGGAGGTGGAGCTAAGCGGAAGAACACAAGGTCATGGGGGTGTGCCCCATCGGGGTGGGCGGGCCTGCCCTTTACTCATTGTCTCCCTCCTCCCGGTAGCCTTGGGCTCTGCTCCTGTTGTGATATGTGGGCTTGCCCCAGCCCCAAGCTGTAGGGCCAGCCCACCATGGAGAGGCGCCACCAGAACCAGGTGGCTTTATAAATTCATTTGCTCAGGCATTTTGTCACAGCCACAAAAAGCTATCACAGGCCTGCAGAGTAGGCTGTTTCTGCTTGCAAATCTCATCTGAAAATTCCCGTCTTTGGATTGATGAGTTGTCTCCATGTTTATTTACCTTCTAACAAGGTCTTATATTGAGACTTCTCTCTGCCACCTTACTTTGTGCCTTCTCTTTATGTCCTTTCCTTTTGGGCTGCTCCAATAGTACCCTAACACATAATCCCCTCCACACATGTCCTGGGCAGCTGTGTGGCTCTGTGGGGGCTGCCTGCTCCTCAGTCTGCTCTGATGCGCACTGGGAACCAGCCCACCCTTAGGGGTACAGAGAAGTGGGGTGACCCCCACAGGCCCACAGAGTGCTCTGAGCCAGGCCTGCTGAGGAGCAGCAGCTTACGCTTGGCAACGCGGTCCCCAGGGTAGATGTGGCGGTTGTAGACATCCATGATGTACACGCGCTGGTCACCCATGAAGTCCCGCTCGTGCCCATTGCCCTGTGGAAATGACACGAGAGCTGTTCGCAGATGCCAGGACCCTTACCAGCTCAGGCCAGGGAGCCCTGGGCTCAGACACAGACCTCCATGGCCAGCCACGTGCAACAGGAGCTCAGAGCAGCAGCATGGGGACATTGCTGGGGTGCCACTGGGCAGGGCTGGGTGAAAGATGGCTGCCAGCTTGTGGTGAAGGAGCTGGGCCTGGGCTCCCTCCCGAGCCCAGGGCACTCACCTGATGGGCGTCAAGATCAATGATGGTGGCCCTTGAGATGCCTTCCACTCGCTCGAACAAGAACTGCCCAGGGAGGGGAAGGACAAGGTGAGGACTGATGGCCAGGCCAGAGGACCCAGAAACCCTTAGGGTTTAGGAGGTGGAGGGCACATAGTGGACAGGGGGAGACAGCATTTGCCACGATGCTGTGGAGCTCCGGAGAAGCCTGAGTGTGCACAGGGGTGGTCAGGGCAGGCTCCCTGGAGGAGGAGGCATGCGTCCAGCCCTGGAGACAGACCCCAGACTTCCCTGGATCCCCTGGGAAGGTGTAGAGTTAGGGGAGAAGCCCCTGAGCCCTTGAGCTTCACTGCCCAGTCTTTGGCTCATCTTACAAGGCCAAGCCCTAACACTCCCTCTTCCAGGAAGGGCCCCTCCTTCCTCCCACCCCATCTCTTTGCACCCCTTCTCATAGTGCCCAGATCTGCTAGCCCACCAGCAGATGCTGTGAGCGCAGGAAGAAGGAGACCTCGTCGGGCCCTCCAGATGCCCAGCACAAGGCCTGGTACACAGTGGCCTCCCCTCCTTGGCCCTCTGCTTCCTTATCTGGAACACATGAGGGTGGGGCTGTCATGAGGAAGAGGGGCGTGGGTGGAGCACCCACAGATGCCAGCTGTTCTCAATTCCATCAAAGCTAGCCACCTCCTCCACCTCCTTATCCTCCCCATCCTCTTGGTCCAGCAGCAAAGCCCTTCCTCAGGTGACTTAACCCTGACATTGCCCATCAGGGTCCCTGGAGCAGAGGAGACTGACAAGTCCCTTCCACACACAGAGCATGGGCAGAGTCACACTGGGTGGTACTACTAGCCTTGGCCCTGGGTCCAAAGGTGGAGAGACAGCACCACACAGGGCGGCAGCGGGACCTAAGGGCCCCTGGAGACCCACCTTGATGGCCAGGGTGATGTCAGCATAGGCACAGAAGCCTCCGCCCCGGTCACTAGAGCAGTGGTGGAAGCCGCCCCCTGCAGAACGGGAGGGGCACGGTCAGTACCAGGTGCTCCCTTGTCCCTCAACCCCAGTGTCCGTTCCTCTCTTATACAGTCATGGGTGGCTGGCAGGTCCCTGTCCACAGGCCAGGTGGCATCACAAGTCACCCCACAAAGGGAGCCGCCCTTCCCTAGGCAGGCACTGGGCCCACAGTATGCTCCCAACCTTGAGGGGTAACTGGGAGGGGACCCTCTCCTGGTCCTGGCTGCCATGGTGGCAGGGGTTCTGCCCACCTCCAAGACCAGGAGAGCTCAGAGCCTATGTCAGGGTCCCCTTCCCCCACACCTCAGGGGAGCCTGAGTACCAGGGTACTCTGAAATGGACCCACAACCGCCCCAAGGGACCGCCCCGGCTCTGCAGGGACCGCAGAGCCCCACGTGTGCAGCCTTTCTGTGTGAACTAGTTCTGTGGGAGAGTGGGGAACAGGAGCACTGCCCTCTGGACCCCTGTGGAGACACTGCTGACCTTCGGCCTATCCACCCACCACATGACCAAGCCCTGCACTCCACAGACAGTCCTTCTGGGGAGGCCCAGTAAGGCAGGCATCATTTCTAGGCGCAGCTGCCTGAGGCATGCACAGGCTTGGAGGGAGGTAGGGGTTCTCTATCAATGGAAATTGCAGCAAGGAGCCTGTTAGACCAGGATCCTACATCAGACAGAGGCAGTGCTAGCCCCTCCCAGGTACCAGGCTGCACACTTCCTCCAGACCCCTCCATAGGAGGCTTGGGTGGCTCTGGTGCTGCCACCCCCAGGGTCCCTGCCCCAAACCCTCTTCCTGGTACTCACCTACATTGATGGCCCAGCCTCGGTCCACAGCCAGCTTCCCTGCCTTCAGAGATAAGTAGAAGGTGGGGCATGGGCAGCCAGTCCCCTTCCCTCATTCATTAATACACCCATTCATTCATTAACTCATTCACAGCCTCACACACCCATTCCGTGAGCAATTTCCAGCCAGCTCTGGGGTGGAAATAAGCAGCGAGGTGGGCTACAAGGGGTGCCCCATTCAGCCCATCAGCAAACACAGCCAGCCAGTAAGAAGGGCCAGGCCAGCAGCGCAGTACACGATGCCGAAGCCTCCCGGCAATTTTGCAAGCAAAGTGGAAGTAACTGAGTTAAGTATTATCACAAGTGTTTTAAGTGAGGTTTTGAAAGGGAAAAGTGTCCACTTTCTTTTGCTCATGGAAATATGGTAGACTGGTGACAGAAATCCTATGAAGATCCAGTTTCGGGGATGGAGATTACTTGTAGTGTCCAGTAGCTACTGACCTAGGGCTGGGTTAGATCAGCAGTGTTTATACGTGAGCTGTGCCTCCAATCAGCTCCACAAAGTGGGAGTCAGCTTTTAAGAAAAACACACAGAGGGTGTGAAAGCTGATTCTGCTGAGCATGGGTTCTTACTGCCACACCCACAATGGGGCGGGGTTTGGTTTTCCCTCTTGAACAGGGGACCTTGGACAGAACAGTCTTTGGAGGAGAACTTGGAGGGGTGAGGTATCCTATATACCAGCAAATAGTCACTCGAATAGGAGGGACAGTGAACTCTTAACATCCGATGCTGGGTAAAGCTTTGGAGAATGGGGCTGGAGGGTTATTTTAGGGTCCTATCCAACTAGGAAGCAGGGGGGTGGTGCACACTGCAGGGTACAGGGTTGTGGTAGGAACCCTGGAGACCCCTTCTCTACCTACCATGATGGTTCCTCCTGTCTGAGTCCGAAGGGGCCGCAGCACCTTCCTCTGCACCAGGAAGTTGGGGAGGAAGATGACAGGGGGTATTTCTGTGATAGTGGCAACGGCGAAGGACCACTGCGGAAAGACATGAGGGCCACTGAGTTAGACTCCCTCTGGATGCCCAAGGAGGGCCACCGGGTGTCCTGGGAAAAGCTCAGCCCCCAGTGCAACAGGTTTAGTAAAGAAAAGCGTGCTGCTCCTTTTTTAGAGCCAATGCGGCCCAATATCCCAGCGCCGAAGCTCTCGGCTGCCCTCTTGTGCCCGGAAGCAGAGCTGCAGGGGACAAGTCGGAGGGGCCAAGCTAGAAGGCTTTGTGAGAACCAGCTCAGCCCAGTGAGTAAGGGAACCTGAGGGCCGGAAGGCAGGATCTTTCAGTTTCCTTCTGCCCTTGCACTGTATGGCCTCTGCTTCAATAGTGAATTGGACCTCCTTGCAGGAGGGGCAGCCCACTCACGGGTAGATGGGACACTGGCACTGAAGCCAGGTTCAGGGTGCATCTGGGTATCTCTAAGAAGTCCAGAGCATTGCTGCCTAGCTGCCACCCTTGAGTCATCCCTGCTTGGCTGAAGTCCTATCTTGACTGCTTTCCCTGCTCTCCTGATCCCAGCAGAGCACACTCTATAAACTTTGGTAAGTGTCAGCTAGGCAACCAGGGTAGGGCTGGGCTGGAGCCTCATACCAGGCTGGGGCACTTATATGTCAGTGCCCATTGAGTGACAGAAGAATAAGATTTGAAGTGGGGAAGGTCAAGAGAGGCTTTCTGGAGGAAGGGAAGAGTCACAGGCATTTCCAGGATGCAGGACCATGGGAAAGAGGAGGAGACGCACGGGGCTACAGAGACACCCATCCAAGAGCACAGACACCGAGTGTGGGCTGGGCAGGGGAGCATGAGAGCCAGGCAAGGAGGGGCCCACAGTAGGACCCAACGACAGTTGGCGTGCATGGATCCAGAGAGGAAAGGTCCTGCCACACCCTGGGCTCCTGTCCTCCACACTATTGTGTTCTATGAATAAGTGAAGGACCCAATGAGCTATGATGCTGAGGGAGAGAGAGAATCACAGAGCCACTCCTGGCCTCCTGAGGAGTCAGATCCAGGCACGAAGGCACTCAAAGGCCCCGGGCACATTGCTCCAAGCACTGCCTACAGCAATCAGTGGATTACAGCGCCATCAAGAAAGGGGTCCCTGGTGGCAGTGACATTTGGAAAATATGCTTGACGTCAGTTTATTTTCCTCCTGGAAATTCACCATGCCCTTGGATGTGGGAAAGGCTCTGGGAATTCTGCAGCAAGTACTGCCTGACTTTGCCTTCTCCAGGTTTCCCAAACCTTCCACCGTGGACCTCTGCCGACCCCATGTGCCGACCTGACCCAAGGCTGCATCCTGGGCCAGATGCAAAGCCAACCAATACAGATGAAATTAGGGCTGTTGGACCAGCCTCGAAGGAAATGAGCTCCAGACCACAGCAGACTGGATGAGGTCGCTGCCCACTCAGTTTCACCCACCCAGCAGCAGTTACACAGCCAGCGGTGATGCTGTCTGCTGACGCTTGAGACCTGTGTTGCCTCAGCCAGCAGCTGCCAGCCTAGGGCCACTGTGTACACTGTTGTCCTGCAGTATCCACAGGAGAATGGCCCTAGGAACCCCTGGACATCAATTCTACAGGGACCTAACTCCCTTACACAGAGTGGTATAGTGTTTACACAAAACCTACACGTAACCTCCCATGCTCTTTAAATATTGTCTCGATGGTTTTGAGACAGGGCTTTGAGACAGGTTGACCTCAAACTCATGGTGATCCTCCTGCCTCGGCCTTGTGGATGCCAAGATGCCTCCATGTCTGGCCTGTAAATCATGTGATGACCTATAATACTTCCTACTATGTAAATACTCTGAAAATAATTTTGATAAATTAAGAACTACCACAAGAAAAAAGTTCTCTGTGTTTGCTACAGATGTAATTTGCTTTTTTTTTGTAATTTGCTTTTTAAAGAATATTTTCAATCTGTAGTTCATTAAATCTGAAAATGAGGAACTCAAAGGAATAGAGGGTCAACATGAATTTTAAGTTAATTTAAAATTAATGAAAAACTTTTGTGTGTATGGCTCAGATTGATCTCACACTTATGCTCCAAATGACAATCTTGTGCCCAGAACTATTTCCTATGCTTGGGAGCTGCATGGCCTGTCAGGCCCTTAACTGGGCAGAGCAGACCTGGGACATTTCTATCACTGCCAGGAGTTTTGCTGGACAATGCTGTCTGGAGCAGCCATCGCTGGTGGTGGGGGCAGAGGATGGGTGGTGAGGGTGGGCAGGGGGCCGTGGAGATGCCACAGTGCATGACTGTGCCCTGTAGGAGAGGTAGGAGACGAGGGTATGGGTGGCCATGGTGTCCTCGAGGGTGACATCTGGAGAGCCACTGACAAAAGCTCTCTCAGAGGCTGAGGCAGGAGGATCACAAGTGCAAGCCCAGCTTGGACAACTTAGCAACTGGGCAAGACTGTCTCAAAATGGGGATGTAGCTTAGTGCAAAGGCCTTGAGGTGGGTCCCCAGTTTCCTTCTCAGCACCCATATCCTCAGCTGGAAGCGAGGGCCCTGAATGAGCACTGGCAAATGGAAGTCAGCCGCAGAGTTTGGTTCTTGCCACACAAGCTGAGATTCCCGCACCTGGGCTGCCTCGAGCTTCTCTCAGGCCTCCCCTTTGTACATATACTCATCTCTACCTGAGGCTGTTGTGTACTCTCTGGGAAACATGGCTCCATGAGGACAGGACAACACCTGGGAGCGCAAAGCCAGGGCCAGTGCCTGAGGCAGGAGGATCCTGGGAGTTCAAGACCTGCCAGGGCTACACAGCCAGACCCTGTCTCAGAAAATAAAAACAAATTAGAAAACCTACATCCTGGGGCCGGGGAGATGGTTCAGTGGAATAAACGCTTCCCTGGCAATAGCAAGGCCCTGAGTTTAATCCTGGTTCTGCAAAA